GTGCCTGGGTGGGCGGTCGGCCTCAAACGGAGCGCAGATAGCCCTGCGGTAGGAAGCGGCGGGAAGGCGGATGGGTGGCTGGATAGGATAGTGTGGGCACATGGCAGGTCTTCTCTGGGAAGTAGGAAGCCGCGGGCTGGGCGTGCAGGTGCGGGGCTGGAGGGAGGAGGTGTCTGGGAGCACGGGACAGCGAATGGACTAGGGGAGGCGTACTGTGCTCCTCGGGCCCTCCTGAGGCACGGTCACAAATTTAAACTGAACCCAGTGGGTGAGGTGGTAAGTCAGGTGCTGGGTGGAGGCGGCAGAGGGTGGCGGGCAGGGCGGGGAAGTGACGGTGTGTGCAGGGGAAGGATTAGTGAGATGGACCACGGAGACCAGTGTAAGGATTAGGGGGTCTTGCCTGGGCAGAGCTGTGGGAGTCGGCGCTACAGGGAGCCAGCTGGACGGATGGGAGGTGGTGGCCAGCTGGGGTGGCGCCCGGAAGTGCCCCGGGGAGCCGCTGCAGTCCCTGCAAGGTCTAGGGGACCATGGAAGTGAGGGGCTGGGGAAGGACAGAGGCCCTGACCGTCAGAGGAAGAGGTCAAAGAATAGAGGGAGCAGGGGCAGGGCGGACTGTTGTGCGCATAGTGAAGTCAGCAAGCGTTATGGCAGGAAGGACAGGAGCTGAATTCATCAGGAGTGAGGGGGAGGAGCGGGGCTAGCCGTGCCCGCCACAAGGAGGGAGCAGGCTGTGGTCTGTGGATCAAGCCCAAGTGTGTACGCACAGGGACACACAGTGGGTGCTTGGTAACGGGGAACTGCTTCCATCAGTAGTATTTCAGTGCCCGGAATGTGGAACCTGGGATCATGGGACAGAACTTAAAATCAGGATGTGCCAGAACATCTACGGTATGGGATTTGCGGGCATCTGTTTCTAGAAGGGGCGGTGTCTGCAGGGCCTGCCTGTTGCCCTCTTTCTGCGGGACCCAGACACCCTCAGGTTTGTCCCTGGCCTGCAGAGTGGTCCCACCAGGCTTGTCAAGAGCCGCAGGGGTGGACAGATAAGTGGGCAGACGGGGACTCAGGCTGAGCCCTGGAGCCACGGGTGAGACCAAGGCCACAGGCCTGGCCCCCTTCCCAGGGTCAGGGGCAGCCCTTGGCTGTCGGCTGTGACGTGGGTGCATCCCCAGCCAGCGGCCCAGGCCCGTCATGCCCACCCTGGGGGGCAGAAGCGGGGAAGGTGCTGAGCAGGGGCAGTCGGTGCGCCGGGGGGACGCCCCCAGGCTGAAGGCTCCGAGGGCAGCCCCTGCCTTGCGGGGCTGGGAGCCTCCTGCTCTGTGGCTCAGAGCAGCTAGGGAGGCTTGCGGGGGACAGGGTCCCTCTGCCCGGGTTTCCTTCTCAGGGTAGGGGCACTGCGACAGGCTTGCCAGGGACGTTTGCGGCGACACCTGCCGCGTGCCCACCGCGTGCTCAGAAGCCTGAGCTCAAGCCCCGTCGTTCTCGTTACCTTCGTGAGCTGCACCCACCCCCACACCAGTCTGAGCCTCAGCTTCTCATCTGGTGGGTGGAATCCTAATATCCGCCTCTCTGCTGGGCGCACACGTGACCTCCGGGGAGCGAGCGTGAGGATGGCACCAAGTGGGATGCAAAGTTTCGTGTTTTCCTCAGCTGTGGCCTCGCTGCAGCGCGGGCTCCACTCCCTTCTCAGAAAAGCTGTGGATGGGCGTGGCGGGATTCTGTGTCGCACTGGTCCCTCCCTGACCGCTGAGACCCACATTTTAAGGAGCACTTCCTGCACTCTCTCCTTCCCTCACTCAGTGGCCCATCGGTGCTTGCCTGCTACGTGCCGGGCAGGGATAAGAGAATTTCCAGTGATGCTGGTCTGAGGAGGAAAGTGCTGAGGGCCATTAGCAAGTCCTTCCTTGCATTTTCTTTGTCATTTGGATCAGCTCCAGCTGCCTTCCCTGGGGAGAACAGCTGTCCCTGGAGGCCTGGCCAGGCTGGACTGGCCAGAGAGACTGTCCTGACGGCAAGCAGGGCAGTGCAGTGGCACCAAGAGAGCTGGGCCCTGCACGCAGTAGGTGCCCGGGGACAGGATGAAGGGGGTACTACCTGGAAAATCCCCCAGAGGCTCTTCCTTGGCTGGTGTCCAGCTCTGCCCCACCCCAGCATCCTTCAAATGTGGTCAGGTTGCTGAGACATTGCCTCTCTGTGCAGAGGCCAAGTTCACCGTTTGACCTTGTGTTGGACCAAGGAATTTGAACTATGGCCGTCTCGTTACTGCCTGTCACGAAACGAGCCATCTAGCCATCCAGGCACGGCCGTCTCTTCCGTGACTCGGGCTGGTCTAAGCTCTGGAAGCCCTAGGGACAGTGTCTTCATAGGGTGCACACCCCCACAGAGGCGCCTTATTCCGGGGCCTCTGGCTCTGACCAGTGGGTTGCAGGGGCACCCCTCGGGGTGGGGCCGAGCTGGGGGAGCCCTGTGGGTCAAGGGGGTATGCACAACCCCCTCATCGAGAGTCCCGCCGGTTGTGCTCTAGGGGAGAAAGGTAATAAGGAGCAACTTGCACTTACTATTGGTATAAATCCCACAATCAGGAAAATTGCTTCAATTGCTAAAAAACGCTGGTGGGAAAGTCCATTTATTTTTCATTTTTCTTGTGCACTTGCCCCCCTTACGCATGAATCACTGTCGGTATGTAGATTAAATTTATACCCCCGTTATCTTTCATGTGTCTGGGGCTCTGGTGTCAACTGGGTTTCTGGTTACTGAAAGCCATGGTCTGCTTCTTTGTGGGGAGAGAAAAGTGGTCCTTTCCCCGGGGGGGAGGGTCCTCACTCTGTTCCAGAGCCTCCCCTCAGCCCTCCTCCCCTCGACAAGATTAGACTTGCTTTTTGGAAAACCCTCGTTCTTCTCTGGAGCTGTTTTGGCTCCAGCATCTGCAGCAAAGGAATGTGGACATTGGACTTTTGGTGTTTTATGGGAGAGGGTTTGCAGGGAGCATGCTGAAGGCACGGTTTCGTTTTTAACACCTGCTTTGTGAATTGGCCTGGAGAGGATCTACAAACTGCAGGCATTTTGAAAATACACTGTAGTAACACATATACACACAGGCTTCCTTTCTCTTTGTCCCTCAAACACACACACGCACCCACTCACAGAGGATAGAACTGGGTGCCTGCCTGCCTGCCTTCCTCTTTAACATGGGTGACCCAGTTGGACAGCAGCTGTGGAAGAAGCCCGGTTTCACCTGCGTTCTGGGAGGTGTAGAACTCTCTAGAACGGACAGTATACTCTGTTCTCCATCTGCAGATTTAGCCATCTCCGTGTACATCCTCTATAAAGCGTGGTTCTTTATTAGCTGATTTATTCATTCAACAAATGTTAACTCTCCGTTTCTGGGTCCCGTACCCCTTTGAAAATCTGATGACACACACTTCTGAATGACTCGGGGGTAGTTTGCAGAGTCCATCCTGAGCTGTGGGCTGGAGAAGACCTGCTCTGGAGGCCTGCTTCTGCGCCCCCCACCCTCCTCGCCACAGCAAGGTCTGCGGTCCTTCCGAGCCAGACGCCCCAGCCCCTCAGACCCCAACACCCTTCTCAGACCTCGTCTCAGAAGAGCAGTCCCCTGGGCCACACTTCTAGACTTAGAGCCCCCCCCCCCCCGCCACTTCTCTCTCTGCGACACCACATGGCTGGACGGGGAGCTTCCGAAACGGCAGCTGGCAGTGCCTGCTCCAGGCCCCTGGCGCCCCCCAGCAGGTATCATTACTGCATAAGAGACCCATCATTCTGCATTAATCTGGGATTCATCATGATAGCCATGACCATAATTAATTTATTTGGTATTAATGTGGATGAAATATGTACTGTCCTTTCAGGGGAAATCAGGCTGCCTATAAGCATTAGTTAAAAGGACCATTAAAATCAAACCTTCCCCAGATCCATTAGGCGAAGTCTTTCATCCTGAAGAAGATAAAGTTCTGCTGTGTGAAATGTCATGAATAATTAGGTTGATTGCTGTTTTAAACTCTGCCCCTGCCTCTCCAACCCCTCCCGCCTCCCTCCCGAAGCAGGCGAGGCTCACCTGCCGTGGAGCATCCCCTTCATCACCCCTGTCTACACTGGCCCCTAATTCCCCTCTGGCCTCTACGACCATCCGTGTGGCTCTGTGTCTACGGACCGCATGGGGAAGGGGCTTCAATGACCCCATTAGACTCTGTTTTCAGTGGGTCTCCTCCCCACTTCCCACCCTGGGCTCAGGGTGGCGGCAGGCACCTTGCTCTTGCCTCAGTGCTGGTCCAGAAAGATGTGGACCAGGGAGAGGGCCGAAGCAGCATCGTTCAAACTGAGGTCTGCAGAATCCTTGCCCGGAACGGTTCTGGGGTGGGAAAATGCAGATTCCTGGGCTCACCTCAGACCAGCACATCTCAGGGGCTGTGCATGGGAAGGGGATGGAGGCTGGCATGGAGGGCTTTGGTGTGTGCCAGATGAAGGGGAGAGGCAGGAGAGAGAAGCCTTTGGGAGAGCCCTGCTCTTGCTGCCAAAGCCAGGTTTCTCCAGAACTGCACTGTGGACACTGGCATGTGGGGTGTCCTGGCTCCTCTCGCGGGAGCACGTGAAGAAGCGTTCGCTGGATGCCCGTGAACACACGCAGTTGCCCGGTGGGGCTGGTCCTCGAGGCCTCACCGGAAAGCTGAAGACCAGGGTGCGGAGGCTGAAGCCGCCTGCTCAGAGGGGACTCAGGGCGTACTGACCGGGCAGGTGGGAGCCCTGGTGTGTCAGCCTCAGAAGAGGCACTCGACACTCGCTCTGCTCCAGCCTCTTCATTTGGTGGTTCAGGAGCCCGGGCTACAAAGCAGGGTGGCTAGCCGGAGACTAGGGGGCGGGGGGCCGCGGACATCGATGCCCATGGACACCCCGGAGTGGTGGGTGGGAGAGGGGCTGATATGATGCGAAATGGGGGGACAGCCAGCCCCCCCCCACTATGCTCTAACCCCTTCATGCTGCCCTGACAGGCGCTTCGGCACAAAATGCACGGCCTGCCAGCAGGGCATCCCCCCGACCCAGGTGGTGCGCAAGGCACAGGACTTCGTCTACCACCTGCACTGCTTCGCCTGCATCATCTGCAACCGGCAGCTGGCCACGGGGGACGAGTTCTACCTCATGGAGGACGGGCGGCTGGTGTGCAAGGAGGACTACGAGACGGCCAAGCAGAACGGTAAGCCAAGCCGGCCCGCACGCCGCCTGCTGCGGACCTCTGTCCAGGCCGAGCCCTCGGAGCCCTGCTCCCACCCTGCCTGCTCTGAGAAGCGTCCCCAGACGCCTGTGGGACAGTTCACGTCATCCCCCATGCCTGAGCCCGGGCTGGCTTCGCTGCAGCCTCAGTCGGGTGTCGGGTGGTGGGCAGGCCCGGCCCCGATGCTGCTCGGAGGCTGAAGAACAGCCGGGACCTTGAGCTCTGCGTGCCGGTGGCTCCTTGCCTGGCAGGGGGCTGGGATGGGGCGCTGTCTACCGTGGACCCTGGGGGTTGCTCACCAGTCTTGTGTACTGGGGTGCACACTGACCTCGGCGCTCCTACACCTCAAAGGCTTCCAACAGGGAGAGCAGGAGCGTGGCCCACGGTGGCCCCCATACTTCAGCTAAGTGCATTCTGTTTCCCCTCTCAGACTGCGGGCTTATCGAGGGCAGGGCCTCCCCCTTCCTCGTGAGGTGATGACCCCTTGTGTCTCCCAGAGTCCCTGGTGCAGGAGCCAGTCTTCACACTCCGAGAGACTCCAGTCAGCCACAGGACTTCCCGCCCACCCTGCCCTACCCCAGCCGCCGCCCCCCCCGCCCAGGCCTATTGTCCAGGGTCCGTGGTGGAGACCTCTACAAGGCTGACGCTGATGTCAGGCCCCAGGGTTAGCTGCTCTGCCCTCCAGTGCCATGTTCCCGAGCAGCCCAGGGCCTTTCCAGGGCCTCGAGCCCCCAGGAAGGCCAAGCTCCCTCTCCCTCCCCTGGAGCCCCACCTCTGCTCCTCACCCAGGCGCTGCGCCCTTCACCCTGGCTTCAGACTTGGCATTTGGCCAAATTCCACCTGGGAATCTCAGATGCACAAACTCACAAAACATCAAGGTCATTTGCCTTGGACTAGAATTTTTATCAACTCGGGGTGTTACTGCAAAAAGCAGCTCTCAACAGCTCTGGGCTTGATGGCAAAAAAAAAAAAGCAACAACAATTTCATGCATCTCCTTCTAGATCTTTCCTGGGCGCCTGAGTCAGAGGCTTCCACTCTCTTCTCCCAGAACCCCCCACAGTGCTGGCCTTCCGGGATGGACAGGCCTTCAAGTCCCCTTTCTCCTCTTTCTGGGGCCTCAGCAAGCCTATTCCCAGGCTCTTTGCCTTAATGTATTCATCTACTCGGGTTCCTTAAAACTCCCCCGATGTTGCTGCTTTGGAGTCAGTTATGATGTCCGAGAAGATTAGGGCATCTTGTCGGGGATACACCATCAAAGCAGATGGATTAGAGATCCCAAGCTGCCTTTGGAACTCTGAAGCCCTTCCCCAGAGATACCAGGAATCGTGACCTCCCTCCAAGTCTCTGGCTGCTTCTCCTTATCAGAGGCCTTGTTTAGACCCTGAGCGTTCATGGCCTAGCATCCACCTCTCCTGGGGATGGTTCAGAGGAGGGGGAGCCTAGCTGGGAAGGCAACAATGAAAGTGAAGCCAACACTTTTATCAAGGATTGTCTGTGCCACACCAGACTTCTGGAGGACACTGGATTTGGCATCAGAGCCTGGTGGACATCTCTGCTCAGTCACTAACTTGGGGGCCCCCTTGGTTGAGCCTTGGTTTCTCAGCTCTGTATGGGGGGGGGTGGGTAATAGCACCTGCCATACAGGGCTGTTTCCTGAGGTTTACATAGGATGGCGCCTGTGGAATGGGATGCTGAATGAGGGTGAGAGCCACGAGGAAGAGGAATGTCAACCGCGGGGTGAGAGCTGCTTTAGGTTTTCAAGTAGCCGAAGGTTACACAGTATTCCTGATGCCTTGCTCCTGCCTCTGGCTGTCTGTGCAGAGGCCACTCCATCCTGTGAAATCCGGGTGACCCTGAGTGCAGCAGGGGGCTTTGTCTGCTTTGGGACATTTGGTTCTTTTTATGTTTTAATTCCTCCTTGCTGATCGAGACCCCCTCTCAGGCTTACAGTTCCTTCCCCTTGTGCTACACAAAGGACCTAATATCAGCTATTTGTACTGTCGTGTGAATGATTTTGTTCATTTGTTACATCTCCCTGGATATTTGCATTTTCAATATAATGAGGTTGCATTTTATGCCAGGGACAAGTTCTAGGAGAGACCCTGCATAATTCAAAACCAACATATTTTAAGACTAATTTTCCCAAAGAAATTAATGTAAAAAGTAGGGGGGGGATGTATTCTGGAAGCACATAAATCCATAACCGGTGAAGTGTATCTTTGCCTTAATGCTACTTTTTATTTTCTCAGCACTATCTCTAATACCTTGCAGAATGCTCTCTCCTAAATTAACAGCCTAGGATATCATGGTCTCGCTTGGCCTTCCTCATAGCGTTTTATCACACTTAACTTCCGTACCAAAGTTATTGATTTTTGGGTACATTTTTCAGCACGAGCACTACCACCACTACTTAATGAATACTTGGATGACATTGTTATAGGACATAAAAAAGATTTTAAATTATAATAACAGTGAATGTTAAAATAACAGCATGATAGTCCCCATAATCGCAAGAAAAGAAAGTCCTGTGCACGTAGACAGCAGTTCTGAACCCATGGGCCACCAACCCAGGATGACAGGGAGATCCCAGTGGCCACGGTGAAAACAGTTGCTAAATCACTAGGCCGGCCTATTTAAAAATTAGACAATTCTTGATGAATTACATTATTTTGCTGATTTCATTATTTCATTTTTTTTTAAAGATTTTATTTATTTATTTGAGAGAGAGAGAATGAGAGATAGAGAGCACGAGAGGGAAGAGGGTCAGAGGGAGAAGCAGACTCCCCGCCGAGCAGGGAGCCCGACGCGGGACTCGATCCCAGGACTCCAGGATCATGACCTGAGCCGAAGGCAGTCGCTTAACCAACTGAGCCACCCAGGCGCCCTGATTTCATTATTTCAAATTTTAGATCTAAAGAGTGTCGAGATGTTTTAAAAGTGCACTATTTCATATTGGCATCAAATGCTGTCCTGCTGTTGTCTCTATAAATAGGGGCAGAAGGGATGGATTCCTTATGACAGAATTTAAAGAACTTTTGAGGGTTTTCTACCGTCTCCGCCAGAGCAGAAAACAGCCCAAGGAGAGAGGACTGGGGACTTCATCCTCCCTCCGCCGTGGGCATGACTGCTGTGCAGGCTCGGGCCGGCCTGCCACCCGACTCAGGGCAGGCGCTGGTGCCCCAGGCTTCAGAGCGGGGCGGGGACTTGCCCACGTCACTCCCTCACTCAGCAAGAAAGTTGAACCCAGGTCTTCCAGCGGCAAGAAACACTTTTCAGAATTGTCGTGAGGATTGTTTGCACATCAAGTTCTCAGATCACACCAGGCACATCGTAGGTGCTTAGCAAATGTTGGCCATTATTGATCCTAAGAGAGGGTTTTCTTGAAAGGAAAGGAAGTAGGAATGTAGCAGAGACATTTTAGAGGACCCAGGGGAGGGAACACAGAAGACCCAGAGAGCCAGGGACGCCGTGGCGGTGCGTGGACTCGGGGGTGCCCTGCGGAGAACGGGCGGGGGGCTAGCGCCAGGAGAGGAGACACACCGTCCGCTCTTGGCTGTGTGCTCCCAAACGCGCCCGGGCGCCTCTGCACCAAACTGAACAAACCAGCCTCTGACTACCGGAATGCCAGGCTTATCTGCTCAGAATCCACTGAAGACTGTGGATCGGTCAGTGTGTTGTCCTGAACACTCTTCAGACCAGTGGTTTTCAAAAAATTTTGACTATGACCCCGAGTAAGAAACTCATTTTCAGCTCAGCACACATGTATTCATACCGTGAACACTTAAGCCAGTCCTGTGAAACCACACTTGCCCTCATCTACCCCATCCGATCCCATGCATCATATTCCCCCCCCAAAGTTTTTGATCCACTCAACTGACAGTACAACCCACTAGTGGGTTCTGACCCATAACTGGTGCACACTGCTTAGATGGCTAGGGAACGTGTTGGTTACCCCTGCTGAGCTCAGCGAGGCCACCACAAAGGGACCTGGGAAATGGGACGCTCCTCAGGGGAGGAGGGGCAGAGGTGTCTGGAGGCAGCCCAGGACACACGTCATTCACCCTGGCTCGTTGGCCTTCACAGCCCAGCTAATGGTTCACAGGATGTCCAGCCAGTGTTTGCCATTTCTGGGAGGCACGTGGAATTGTACACCTTCAGTCTGGTGGGAGCCCCTGTGTGGCTGGGCTGGCGGGGGACCGAGACGGGCGGGCAGCTGAGGGAAGGACCATTGTCCTCACTTTTCCATGACTCGGGAAGGCCTGTGGTGAGGACTGGGCTCCGTGGGGGTGGTTCCCATTCCTTCCCATGGCTCTGCCCACGGTGGGCAAGACTGCGTGAGGAGAGGAGGAAGGGCATGAGCCCCAGTGGCTTTGGGCAGGCAGAACCCAGTAAGGAGGGGTCTTCAATGCAGATGACTCCGAGGCCGGAGCCAAGCGGCCCAGAACCACCATCACAGCGAAGCAGCTGGAGACGTTAAAGAACGCCTACAAGAACTCCCCCAAGCCTGCCCGGCATGTGAGGGAGCAGCTCTCCTCAGAGACCGGCCTGGACATGAGGGTCGTACAGGTGAGACCCCGGGCCCCTGGCTTCCTCCGCCCTCTGGGGCTCCCAGGCCTGCGCCCTCCTGCGGGGGGGTGGCCTGGGCTGGGGTGCGGCTCTGTGCCCTCTCACTCTACAAGAGGGAGGCTTAGGGAGCGCCAGGGGCAGCTGGGCTCCGGGCCGTGACCCGGGGAAGCTTGTGGAAGCAGAGACTGAGGCAGAGATGGAGGCAGAGGGGCACATCACGCTCCCGGCCCTGAACTTCAGGGCCTGTCTCCAGCTACCTGTCCTGGGGACCCTGGGGGCCTTGGGTTTGTGGTGGCCACCCGCTGAGTGGGTCCCTTCTGCTTGTGTGGCAGGTTTGGTTTCAGAACCGAAGGGCCAAGGAGAAGCGCCTGAAGAAGGACGCGGGGCGGCATCGCTGGGGGCAGTTCTATAAGAGCGTCAAGCGGAGCCGGGGCGGCAGCAAGCAGGAGAAGGAGAGCTCTGCAGAGGACTGTGGGGTTAGTGACAGTGAGCTGAGCTTCCGAGGTGAGCAGGGCTGGAGGGGCGAGGCCGAGGCCTTAGGAAAGGCCCCTGGGAAACAGTAATTCTTGACACGCAGGGGGGGTCTTTCTTGAAGCCTTGACAACTGCCTCCCGAAGCCAGGCTCTTCCCCGCGACTTGCAGCAAAGGGTGGGGGGTGGCAGTGGCCCTTTGAGACGGGACAAGGAATAGGAAACAAGAGAGTTCTGCTGCTGCAATGTGGAAGCTGGGTTCCCCAGGACCATGGGCCCCAAGGCCTCCCCTCCTTTCCTGCTGACTGGGGCTCTCTCACCGGCCGGCCGTGCAGCTGGGAACAGACAGCTGTGTGTCTCGGCCCCTCCCTCGGCCCCTCTCCTGCATTCCCCTCCTTTGCAGGGGCCCTGGCCTCCCTCCCAGGATCCCCTGCAGTAACGGCTTCCTCCTCTCCTGGTGATGGGGTGGTCGTGCTCAGGAGGCCCTTTGCCCTGGGAAAGCGATACTGTGAGTGTGTGCCGGATGGGGACAGGCCTCGCTTCTGAAATCCCCTCCCCCACTGCTCACTTCATCCTGTCCCCTGCACAGAAGCTTTGCAGCATGCGCTACATTCAAATCTGGGCATCAGCAAAATGGCGAACCACTGCATGTTTGGGATCCCGAGGTTGTTTGCAAATAGCCATAACTATTCTGTCACTGAGTCCTCAGCTATGGAAGGTCCTCTGTTGTGGGTGGATAGAAAGAGTAGTGAGTGGGGGGTGGGGCTCAGAAATCTGGTTGCCGGTTGGGGTTCTCTCAGATCGATTCACTTTTCTTGAGTCTCAGTTTCCACATCTGTAAATGGGGAATAACTACATCCTCGCCCATCTCAGTGTTGTTGTGGGGTTCGATGAACACAACTGACTGTGGATGTGTTTGGGTGAAGCTCAGCACAGTTTTACGCTTGGAAGTCACGACTATCCCCACAGGGAGCATGTGCCCCCCCCCCCCCAGAGGGTTGTATGGAATGACAGGTGTCGGTGAAAGGCCAAATAATGGCCATTTTCCGGTGGAGCTGAGCCTTCATCGTTCTGCCCTCTTTAAACAGCATGAGATCTCCTTCCCCCTTTTCATTTTCAGGATGGAGTGGTGGGGGGCAGGCCTAGGGCAGGTTGTCAGAAGGAATGGGTGTTGAAGTCTAGTCTGGGGAGGCTTGATGGGAGCTGATGCACAGGCCCAGGGTGGGAATAGAGAAGGAGGTTCATGGGGCAGAGGACGGAACCTGCTGTTGGCCAGAGCATGATGCCCTCAGAGGACTGTTGCTCACTCGGGAGATCTGTCCTGTGGGGCCCTGGGAAGGGCTCAAGAGCCTATGCTCACCTTCCAGTCCTGTTGGTGGAGTTAGGAAAGCCATTTAATCTGATCTGAGCTGCCAAAATCAACATCTGGAACACGCAGGATCATTACATCTTGCTTTGTAGCTCTTTTCTGTTGGGTGAAGGTGGGACCCCAGGTTGACATGTCATGGGTCTCTCTGGGTAATTACAGAACTCTTTATTTCTTAAGACTAAAACCACTCGCCTCTGTTGGAGAGATGAATTCTTCTAGGTAGCACAGGATGCATTAGAAACCCTTAATGAAATTCTTCAAGAAACAAGAAGGCCCATTTGCCTTAATCAAGTCAATACTTTGTCCCCAGTGAAGAGCTTATTCGATAGAGAAACCGAGTCCTTCGATATTGAACCGCTTTTCCAGGTAGACCAGAAGGATTTTGTATACATGCCTAAGAGTGGCCCTCAGCTACCCTTACCACCTGGGCCTGCTTCTTTCCCAACCAACGGAAACCAAGCACTTTTCTCAGCCTGAAAGCTTTCAGATTAAATCTTGTCAGCACGTAGTTTCCATTTGTGAGGCTGATAACGTATGACCCATAAACCTCAGGCATTCATATTCTTTAGTGTAGCCATCTTAGTATGTAAGCCACATGGGACCAACAAACTCAGCAGACATTTGTCCAGCCTTTTGGGATCTGCCTTCAGGCTCTGCAGGTGTTTCCTCTGTGTTTCCCCTCAATGCGGGTCAGTCTCTGGCTGCCAGGTTGAGTGTTGGCGTCTGACTCATGCATGGCAGTGAGGCGGCTGCCATCCTTGGGCGTCTTTCTTGGTCATGTGTATTCCTAGGTTGTGAAGAACAGGGACCACTGGAGTCCTGGCGGCTGACAATAAATCTCCGTTCTTTTGTCCACAGAGGATCAAATTCTCTCAGAACTTGGCCACACCAATAGGATTTATGGCAACGTGGGGGACGTTTCAGGCGGACAGTTAATGAATGGGAGCTTCTCCATGGACGGGACAGGACATTCCTATCAGGACTTGAGGGATGGGAGCCCCTATGGAATCCCCCAGTCTCCCTCCTCCATATCGTCCCTGCCATCCCACGCTCCTTTGCTCAATGGGCTGGATTACACGGTGGACAGTAATTTGGGCATCATTGGGCATGCAGGGCAGGGAGTGAGCCAGACGCTGAGAGCCATGGCTGGGGGACCCACCTCTGACATCTCCACAGGAAGCAGTGTAGGCTATCCCGACTTCCCAACGAGCCCAGCCTCTTGGCTCGATGAAATGGATCATCCTCCTTTTTAAACATCTCTCCTCCCCATCCTACCCGTCCTGGCTTGAGAGAATATCTTCAAGGATCAAAAGAGACTTGCCTTTTAAGGATCAAAAGTGCACCAATGTGAATTTCCATTATTTTCAATGGAAGTCCTCCGCTGATTCCTAGGCGGGCGAGAGACCAGACCACACTAGGGCCCTGTTTCCCTGGAGAAGTAGCGGGAAGGCAGCCTCCTCTCAGGACACAGCACAGGGGTGCAGAGCCTAGAGCGCTAGGGTGCTGCTTGGTGGCTTCCTACCCCCGCCCTGCTTCCAGGCTTTGGCTGCTCGGTGCTTGGCAGCACGAGGTGACCGTCAGGCCACCTTGGCCTTTGGGAACTCTGCTCCAACTGGTGTGTCTCCTGAGATGCCTCCCGAACCACTTCTCTCCACCAGAACTGAGATTCCTGAGGTAGAGGCATCCTGGCCCTTGAGTATAATAAAAGTGATTTCTGGACCACCCTATTGAACTCCAATTTTGAAAATAAAAAGTCACTTATTAAATGTCAGTGAAAACTTTGATGGCCACCGTTTGATATTGAAAACGTCCCCTTCTCCTTCTTCTTCTTTTTTTTTTTTTGCTGTGAAAAATATGACTTCTTCCCTGCCCAGAAGTACAAGCCAGACAATATTTGTCAGTTTTTAAGAGATCCCATCCCTATCACTGAATCCCTGACGGCAAGAAGTGGTTTTCCTTGCAGGTGACTCAGGCTGGAGCTGAGTGGCCCTGGACCATCACAGCGACTGCCCGACGAGTCCCCTCGGTGCACACTGTGCCTTTTTAATTTGCTCGTATCATTTATTCCACAAGACAGGCTGTGGGTTACAAAGTGATCCAAGCTAAAATACGGAGAGAACAGAAGGACAATCAGCGCAAATGCGCAGGCGCATTTGGATTCTAAGCGTGCGGTCCGCTTAGCCGTGTCAGCAGACGTGCTCTCAGAGCTCCCCATCCCGCACGCTGAAACGGTATTGAGTCTGCTTTGCAGGAGTTGGTGTAGATGAGCTTGCGAGCCCATCCCACCAGCAGCCAGCCCGCCCCAGTCCTTGCAAAAGGAGAGCTTTCTCTGTGGTAGCTGACTCAATTGGACAGTTTTGGTATCTTCCAAGAGCCAGTAATGCTTTTTGGCCCAGCTTGGTTGGGAGGAATCACTCGGGAGCAGCCCTCAGATCGCCCAAAGGGTTCCAAGTGGTTCTTGGGAGGCGTCTCTCTGGGCTGCTGGCTGGACTCGGGCCAGGCCCCGAGGTGCCCCAGGCATGCGCTCAGGAAGGCCAAGCTCGCCAGCCAGTGGCAGTGAGGGCTCTCAGCTAGCAGGTTTGCTCTGGCCCCTCACCCAGCCTGAGGCCCGAGGCAAGGGCAGGGCCGACCCCTGCTCTACGAGCTGCCCCCCCCCCGCCCCTCGGTCTGCGGACCCCCCATGGGGGGACACGCCAGGGTGAGTGAGTGAGTGGCGCCGCAAGTCCTACTTTATGCACCGCACCTCTGTCTGTCAGGAAGCTCTCCAGCGCACACTGCGTGCAGGTTAGCGAGGTGGGCGACCGTTCAGTCCCTTGGGAAATGGTGGCCGGCTTCTTCCGGCCTCCGTTTTCTTAGACAAGAGAGTAGGAAAGGGTAAGAAGGCATTGTCTTTCTTTCACGTGAAGTGACAGGGCCAGAGACCTTAGGGACCCTTCCTTCTGTGAATGCTTCGTCACCTTTTGAGGACCACGGGATTCAGGCACGCGGTGGGCAGGCTAAAGGAAGACATAAAACACCTCCACTTTGGCTGCTGCAGACACCGTAGACTCCCTTCCAGGACTAAACAGAGGTCAGTCAAGCTTCTTTAAAATATGCAGTCAGTGAATTCCTGGGCTCAGTTTGGACTGTCCCCTTATTGTCTGGTGTGCTGCATCTACTGTGATTTTTGCTTGGAGAGTCTACAAACATAGACTTCTTCAGGCTCCAGGGGTGGGGGTGGGGGTGTGTCCCGCCTAGCCAGCTTGCTCCTGGGAATTCCCCAACAGTGGGGACACTGGGAGCGGGAGCGGGGACACATATGCAAGACGAGAAGCCACAGGAAGGCAAGGAAGACCCAACTGTCCTTTTGGAGGACAGCTTCTTCCACACGCTAGTCTCCGCAGGCTGCTCCCAGGATGCAGGAGAAAGACGGTGTCGGGCCAGGGACCAGTGACAAACTGTCCCACGCAGACCACTATCTCGGCTTGACTGTGGCCTAGTGACTCACGAGACCTCAGCGGCACCTCACGTCTCTGGTGCGTACAGTGCAGGGAGGGTAGACTCCCTAGAGAGACAGGCCCCCTCTCTGTGTGGCACTGGTTTAAGATCAACTGAAGTTGACCTGTTTTTGGTTTTGTATGTGACATCTTCATGCTCACTCCCGATTCAGGGGTGGGAGACGGGGAAGCTGTCCTCACTCCCGCTAATAACACAAGTCTCCTGCGGCCCTCAGTGAGCGGCGCAGTCAATGGGGGGAGCAGCCCCTTGGGTTTTGGTGGGGTCGGCTGGCTTGAAGAGCCCTTGCGAGAGCGCTGGCCAGAAAGCCAGGGGAGCCTGAACAAAGTTCCCGACAGCCACCTCCCCAGGAAGCAGCAAACGCTGGTGCCTCATTTAGAAGTACAGCCCCCTGAGGCCTCAGATTTGAAGTGGGTCTCCTCGCACGTGAGGTTAGCGTATGGACGGGCCAGGGCCACCGGGGAGCCACCGCATGCCAAGACGATTCCCTGGCTCTTCTGTGGCTCAGAAAGGGAGAAGAACAGAACATTCCCTTGAGGTTCTCTTAAAGGCACTCCTCTAGTGCTCATTATGGTGATAATCTAATGTTATAGTAATAGCCTATTACTGAGCTATAAGGTGCTACATGGGAGCGGTTTCCTCCTTACTAAATCGATATGGATGAATTTTTAAAATGAAGCGAGAACTTCTAGGGGCATTTACAATATTTGGATATGTCTTTGGCTCTAAGAAGGCAAAGAACTAGCAGGCATTATCTGCAGCGCCTGGCTGGTAGACCTGAGGGTAGGAGGCTTCAGAATCCAGTAGCAAATTAAAGACAGAAAGAAAAACAAATCCCCCTCGCCTCAGGTTTCCAGGGGTAATTGGTATGAGCAAAAATGGGACCTGAGCGGCTATGGAAGAATCTACATTTGCCGAGACGTGAGAAAAGCATAGAGGAAATACCAAATCCAAGGGCTAAGCCGGCCCTCTGGTTAAATCACATGCTGGGGAGCCTGACTCCTTGCAGGGACTTGTGTGCAACTCGAGGCCAGCTCCTCTCCATCATGCTTTCTCTTTCCTGCCCCATCTGGGAGTTATGACTATAATATAAGTACCGATAACATTACTCCAGTGAATGAGGACAGTGAAACATCAGGGAAAGAGAACAAGACCTAAGGCAAGCCTTTTGGAGTGTCTTTAAAACTCGGTCTTTTTGTTTTTGTTTTTTTTGCCAGCGTAAAACACGAAATCTAGTAAGATCACTGGGGCCATTAGACCTTCATAATGAAGCTCCCGTTGCAAAAAGTGTAAGAAGTCCGTAGAACAAAAGGCACTGATGCGGCTCAAGTTGGTTATTGGGATTGGGAGATACCTGCCTCCTCGCAGGGGGGCTCTCGGGCCTCAGCTGAGCAGCCGTGCCCTCTGCCAGCGCACGTCCGGCCCCCACACTCCCACGTGACCCCCCCACGCCCCCCGACTGACAACTCGGTTATAACCTCTGAAGTAATGACCAGACCTCCCCAGCCAGCAGGGGCTGGCAGGCCCGAGGAGGCTCATTTTTAAACACTGCACTTTAAAAATTGGAAACCGTGAGATGAAGAAAAATTCAATTAAGCGGAAATGAGTTTTGTTTTATTGGCTGCTGCTGACGGGCTCTGGGCATGCTGAAAGCTAAATAAAAAAGCACATCACTGGCTCTCTCTTTCTTGGACTTGGTCAGTTGGCCCTTTCTGCAGCAGCTGCTCTAACCGAGCTCACACGGTGACTGGAGCCAAAAAGAGAGAGCGTGGCGAAGCCATCCCACCCACACACTGCTTGGTAGGGCCCCACGGAAAGCACAGTTTCCCGCTGCTAGCTCTGCTGAGGAGGCGGCTGCAGGTTTGGGAGGGGTGCCAAGCATTCCTTTCCTTGGGGAGGCAGAGCACAGGCGGACAGAGAAGGACACCCCCGCTCTGGTCTGCTGCCCACCTAGAGGCAAGAATCATTTGTACCTCCCCACATGCGTTCAGGGCTGCAGGCTCCCAGAAGCTGCTCTGAACTTGCGTTCAGACCTCAAAGCCCCAGGTCCCCTAAGCTCTGGACGGTTGCCCTCACCCTTGGCAGTGTAAATTTTGTATAGTTAAAAAGAAATGAAGTCTCACTTCCCGGGGAGAAAAAAAAAAAAAAGAAAAAAAAAAAAAGGACCCACCCATCCTTATTTATTGCCATGTGACTTTGGAACACAGAAGCTGGTGCGTTTGTATATGGTTCCTGTGTGTTGGCATGAGATGTGTATGGTAAAATTATGTCAAATAAATATGGAAATTCTTTAGAAGCGGATGTGTCTTGCTTTTCATTTTGGTTCTCTGGATGTTTTTTTCTCTTGATATAATTAGGACAAAAAGCTAAGGCGACGTGGGGTCCTTTTACCATCGGAAGGAAACCCAAACTACAACTCTGAATGCCAGAACGACTTACAGCCATGAATACCAGAAGTGCTCAATAAAGGTTCGATTAGGGGAAGTGCTCTGGTTTTTCTGACAGCAATTTTCCGGGGCCCAAAATCCTCCGCTCCTAGACTTAGGGGATGGGCAGAGAAAACCCAATGACCACATAATCTTAGTTAATGTTTGTCCTGTTGCATTTTAAAAGTCCTTCCCACTTAAACATTTTCTCCCTAGAGAAAGTATGTGCAAACATCTATATTTGGGCGAGAGGTGGACAGAGGGATACAAACACCTCATCAGAATTATCAGGGCTCCTTGATGAGCTTTTATAGAAAAGTCCTCATTCAGATTCCTTCTCTGCAAGAGGCTTTATTAATGTGCAGGATCTGAAGGTTAGCTGGAATGGAAAAAGCAACACTGCTTCTTTCATCAAAAAATATTAAAGTCCAGGGGCACCTGGGTGGCTCAGTCGGTTAAGCGTCTGCCTTCGGCTCAGGTCATGGTCCCAGGGTCCTGGGATCGAGCCCCGCATCGGGCTCCCTGCTCTGCGGGGAGTATGCTTCTCCCCCTCCTTCCTGCTCATGCTCTCTCTCACTATTTCTGTCTCTCTCAAATAAATCAATAAAATATTTTTTAAAAATATTTAAAAGAATATTAAAGTCCTCCTATTTCTTTAGAGCTAGGCTTCCATCTAGGAAAAACTGGAGTGCTTTTTCCATTAGTGATTGGTTTTATTTGAAGAGAAGATCCAGAGGTGCACTGTCCCATATGGCAGCTACTAGTCACACGTGGCTATTTACATTTAAATTGACTAATATT